CCCGCTGTTCTCCAAGTACAAGGCGGCGGCGGCGGCGGCGGCGGCCGCGGGGGAGCCCCTGGGCGCCCCGTACTACGACTGCCGCTTCGCGCCCGAGCTGAGCGGCCGCCGCGCCGCCGCCGCGCTGCTCTACGTGCCCGGCGCGGCCGCCGCCGGTTTCCGCGGCGGCCCCAAGGTCATGGCGGGCCCCGCTGCTCCTCCCGGGGGGTCCTCCGCGCCGTCCCCGGCGGAGCCGGTTTCCCGCAGCCCGGCGGCCCCGGGGGCGGCGGCGCCGCCGGCGACTTTTACCCGGCTGCCGGGGGGAGCCCCACGGCCGCCTACCAGCCGCCTCCTCCGCCCCCCGGCGCGCCTCCGCCTCCTGCCCCCTGCAGCGGGGTTACCTGTCACGGGGAGCCCGCTAAATTTTACGGATACGATAACTTACAGAGACAGCAGATTTTTACGACACAGCAAGAGGCCGAGCTGGTACAATATCCTGACTGTAAATCGTCCAGTGCTAATATTGGCGAGGAACCAGACCACTTAAATCAGAGCTCGTCTCCTGCTCAAATGTTTCCCTGGATGAGACCGCAAGGTTGGATGCAGTAAAAAAAAATTTGCTTCCATCTCACGTCTGAGTTTGAAACTTTCTTTCCTCCTCCTGCTTTTGCCTCGCTGCCTCCCACTCTTCCCCTCTGCCTCCCGCTCTCCCTGCCGCTCTCCCCGCGCGTTCGATACCCGCGAGGGCTCTTGAGAATAAAGCAGCCCAGAAGCGAAGGGGCAGCTCGGCGGGAGGCGGCTGCTCCCCACGCGTGTCCTGGAACTCGCCGTTCGCGCGGCCCGGCCCGAGCTGCTGGAGCCGAAATGTGGAAGCGCTGCGGGCCGCGGGCGGGGGCCGTTACCAGATAATAAAGTGACCCTGTAAACTCGGTCCCGTAAACTCCGGTGGAGGCGCTTAATGCATCTGCTGCAGCTATTTATTTTTTCGGCGCATTGTGTGTATGACTCTGACTTTSTCCATATCCTCTGGGTTTACTTTTTCCCCCCTCACTCGTTTTCTGTGTCGCTTCTCTCGAGGGGCTTCTCGGGGGACCCGAATCCTCGCTCACTGCCCGGCTTCGCTGTCTCACACGACAACAGCAACCACCAAAATCCTGTGTTTTTCTTTTAAACAGCAGCGCCTGGTAGGAGGAGAGGAAGACAAACATACAGCCGATTCCAGACTTTAGAGCTGGAAAAGGAGTTCCTTTTTAACCCCTATCTGACCAGGAAGAGACGCATCGAAGTGTCCCACGCGCTAGGACTCACCGAAAGGCAGGTAAAGATCTGGTTTCAGAACAGAAGGATGAAATGGAAAAAAGAGAACAACAAGGACAAATTCCCCGCTTCCAGGCAGGAGGGAAAGGAAGGGGAGGCCAAAAAGGAAGCACATGATCTGGAAGAAGAAAGAGCCAAAGGCCAGACGAATTAAATTTTGCCTTAAAAACCTTGGTGAACGTCTATCAAAAATAACGAGCGCCCTTCGGCCCGATGCTCTTGCTGCAAAAGGCCCTGCTTTGCGGGACGAGTGACCCCCGTGTCCCTCCGCGTGTCCCTTCGCTTCGGGTGCTTATGTTGCGTGTGGTTGGTGTTTGGTTTTGTTTTTAAACGTGTTCAGGGCAATAGCTACATTTACCAGTTCATCTGCTCCTATTGGAAATTTGATGCAGAGTTTGTAGCAAGACATTTCTAATGATATGAATATATGTATTTCCAATGTTAAATGACGGTGATTACGGGCAACGACATAAACGTCTTAATAATAATTACCAATAAGCAGGACATTTATCAATGCTTTATTAATCAAAACAAGTGCACTTSTACTATTTTAATTTTTGCTCCAATGTTAAGTAAATTAAATAAATCTAATGATTTTGAAGAAAAGATCATAGAAATATATTTAACCTTCTACTATTGATATTTGATTTAAATAAACCAAATTTATTCAGATATAAAATTAATCAGCTTCTTGATATTATTTTATTTACTTATTTGTTTTTATCGAGTTTCCCAATAACCTTCAGAGGCTCCTCGTTACTATTTTTTCTGTCTGCCTTTCCCTTCGCTTTCCCCGGGTATTTAAATGCGTAGTCGACCAGAATCCTTTTGTAAGTCGGGCCCAGCCTGCGGCAACCAGAGGTATTCGGATAGAGGGTCCGGGGTTTGTGCCGGCCTGGCTCCGAGCGCGGCGGGGCAGCTCGCCTGCCCGTGCCAGGCACCCAGGCCCCTGCTCAGGGCCACCGCGCTGCCCTTCCGCGGCCGCGGGACTCCGCGCTGCGGCGCGGGCGCCGATACAAGGCAGGGACAAAAACAGGCCCGAGCAGGGCCAGAAAGGGAATTTATTTTTCGCTTTGTACGAGAAATTCTTAGGTGCTCAGTAGTTTTCGGTCCTAAATCAAGTATAAACGGAAAGGGGAATATCTTCTCTCCACACGAGTAGAACCTCTGATGCGGGGCCATTTCCATCGGCCTCATGCCGCTGTGTGAACCGTCCTGGTGCGGCCGCGGAGGCCCGTGGAGGCCTCGGCGCTGGCCGCAGCTCTATCCCAGTACCCGGTCCTGCTCCCGTCGCCTGCACGGGGCACCAGGAGCACTCCGCTCCCATCGGAGAAGAGGTAGAATTTATTTCCCTCTCTCCTTTTTCTCTCTCTTTTTTTTTTTTTTTTTTTTTTTTCCTTCTCTTCCCTCCCTCTTCCCTGATCTACGGGCAGAGTTCTGCATCTCACGTATTGCGTTATCTGACTTTTTTTTTTTTAAACACTTCACAGAGGTACAAGGTATTACATCGTCATCCAGATTCCGCTTTATTTTTTTCCCTTCCACCTCACTGCTCCAGTGCGCGATGGTTCCTCCAAGGGAATGCGCCAAGGTGGCCCTTTCRTTACGTAGCCTGCAGGGAGGTCGGGGGGCTCCGGCTCATCCTGCCTCACTGAAAGTGCCCACTAAATCCATCGGGACGGGGTTTGGGGTTGATAGGACGAGCTGGGTTCATTTACGCCCCTTATTTGCTTTTTCCCCTCGGCTGAGCCCAGGCGCGATGCGAGGTCGCGCTCCGGCTCTTTCAAAGTGCTGGCTCTGAGGGGAAGCAGGAGCTGGAAAAGTCGCGCTTCGGTTTTATTTTAATCACGTAATTGGGCAACGCTTGTAAACGCGGGRGCACTGCGGCAAAGCTGCGGAGTAAACATTTTGCTGCAGGAATTTGCATAAATGCACCAGCGGTCCGAGCGTCCAGGAAGGATGTGGGGTCGTTTTAAGGAAACGCCATCGGCTGGAGGAGAAAATAGAGCAGCGCTTTAAAATAAAGCTCGTTCTGAGGGGTACGGAGGGGACCGGTCACCCGACCCAAAAGAACAGCCCTTCCCGGTCACGTCAGTGGCCACAGGGATACAGTGCAGCCATGGATCAGAGAAAGCCATTTTGATTCCTCCTCCTGCAATTCCCAGGGAGGGGAATTCAGGCCGTACGGGCAAAATATATAACGGAGACGTGTGAGTACGATTGCGGGACCGCTTAGGGGAACGGAGTGAGCGGTCGTCGTAGATTTCCCAAAGCAGAGAATAAAAATAAGATATTTCTGATGAATCTTCCGTTAGCATTGTTTTCCCAGGGCAAAGGGCCGCAGGGAACCAAGCACCTTTCCTGCGCTTGCACGGGCCTACAAGCACCGCGAGTACCTATGCCTGATTTGTGAAAGTCAAAAAAAAAAAAAGCGCTCTTTCCCCGCACTTATTATGGTACTTCCCAATTGGCAGCGATGTTTCTCCATCTTTTCTATTCGGAGTCCCGCTAAGAAGAGAGGGCAGGAAACGAGGAAACGATAACCCGCTATTGCCGAGGCCGCGCAGCGCCCAGATGCGTGAGGGGCTGCGGCTGCGGTGGGAGAAGCCGCAGCTCCTTGCGCGGCGCGGGCCCTCCGCGACTCTGGAAAAACCCCGGCGTCTCGCCCAGCGAACGCATGTCACAGATATACTTTACACTAGCGTCTTTTTAATACGCTATAGCAACATGTTTCAATMYTTTTATTTTATTATTTTTCTTTAGAAGAATATTTATTTTAGTTAGCTCAATTTTACTGGCAGGAAAATATGTAGGGTGATATAATATGTAGGATTTATACTATCCCTATGGATGTTCGTGTTGSAGGGCTTCTGTTGCTATTCTCTAAAACAAAACAAAGAAAAAAAAATGAGCAAGACCTCTGCAGTCTGGATCCACGAAGAGGGATCCGCGCTATGGGCACCGTGGAGGCTTAGGTTTTTTTAAAGTGTTTTCTGAGCAGTAGAAATCGCCCACTCCGTTGCTCCCTCTGGTTCCAGATATTTCTAGGGCAAGAAARGAATGGCGGGAAGGGCGCAGAGAGCCGGCCCGAGTTCAGCCCCGGGCAACCTGTAGGAACCGCGACCTTCCCGTTAGGAAAAGGCGCTACTGCGGCCCGGGCTGTATTTTGATCGTCAGCGAGGGGCGCTTCAGTAGTGGGCGCTAAAGCAGCCCGGGTTCCCCGTGCGGCCGTGGCGGGGGCAGGATGGGCTGCAGCCGCCTCTTTCCATCGCGGTCTCCGTGCACGGGGGGACGCGGCGAGGCAGAGGGCCGGGGTGCCCGCGCTGGACATTGGCCCGTGTCCCCCKGCCCTGCGCGGATCCCCCGGGCCCCTCTCCGCGCCCGCGGGGCCCCGGCGCGCGCGGGGGTGCGCAGGCCACGCGAGGGCGGGCGGGCCGCTGGMGGAAATAAAAGCGCAGCGCGCAAGCGAAACAAACATGGCGCTGGGAAGCAGTATGTGCAAAATCCGCAAGGAATTGCAGTAAATTCCTTTTTGTTTGAAGAAAATTTACAACTTGGTAATAGACCTTTTTATGACCTATTTGGGCTCGTCATTGGCTGCGGCTGGTCATGTGCAGGCAGCGAGCGCTTTCATGGCCTTTTCCTGATTTCCCTGGCGAATTTCCCCCCGCATTCTGCCTTCGGAGAGCCTCGGCCCCTCTTTTCCTAACCTTTGTCTCCGCGGAGGTGTATGGCAGCCGCTGCAATGTTTGTGCCCCGCTACTCCGCGGCTGTCCCGCTCCCAAGACGTGTCCGCGCCCGCGCAAGATTGCGCGGGGCGCCGCGCCACTGGCAGCCCTCTGCGGCTGGTCACCCCCGCCACCGTKCTCTGTCCCTCGCCTCGGATTGCTACGCGGGGGCAACAAATATGGATTACAGCGACCGTCCAGGGCTCCTCCGCAGGCGCGCAGTGCCGCTACCCGGTAAGGACTCGCCTCTCCCGGCGGCCCCGCTCCCGCGCAGCGGGACCCCACCGGCGCCGCTCCCCATCCTGCCTTATGTCACCTGTGTACCCGAGCCCCCCAGCGCGGCGGTCCCTGTTGCCACTCGCGCGGGGTTATGTCTGGTGGCATCGCGGCTCTTCCTGGCCATTAGCGGTGGGTGCATCGCGGGTGCCGTGGCCGGTGCGCGGTGCGTGCAAAGAGGGCGCGCTGGCTGCGCGGAAAACCCGGCCCTTGCACGCAAAACCGCGCAAGGAAGGCTGCAGGGCACGCAGAGCCTGCCGCAGACGTTTCTTACAATAAAAGCCCGTTTTGTCTTTTTTTTTTTTTTTTCTTTCTTTCTTTTTTCTCCCTTTTATTTACATTTTATTATTATCATAATATTAATATGTGCCTCTCTTCCCCTGACAGCACGAGCCAGGTTGTGCTCTCTGGTTCCTCATTATGGGCAGGCGCTCGCGTAACTTTCACGTCTAACAGGTGTTTTGGGAGCAGGATGGGGCGCTTTGTGCTGCGCGCGGCCCCGGGGCCGGCTCAGTGCGGGGGCGGGGGATCTCCCGCACCCCCTCCCAAGGAATTTTATGACATGCTTCCTGGCACCGCACTCTGCCTTCCCCACCCGCCGCGGCTGCATCCGCGGCTAGCGGAGCCCTATTCTGGAGGCTCCGGGGCAGGCAGTGGGCTGGTTGTGTCCCCCCTTATCCCGCAGATGAGGGGGGAGGTTATTTTAGGGCGAGACGCGGCCCCAGGGCTGCCTTGCCCGTGCGCGGTGCGCGGGGGCCCGCGGAAGCAGTGGTGCTGCACGCCGATCCCGCACAAAGCGCCCCACGCGCAGCACCGCTCTTTCCCATTGCCAAGTGGAAAAYGCGCGTGCTAAATCCGGGGCGAGTTTTTTAAAAATAGGTTTATTTGGAAACATATAGATGGGATAGTACACTCTGTATGCTTCACTGATGTGGCTTTATATGTCTTATCTGCCTTRCATATAAATGAGTGTATATCTGGAGTGTATATTCTTTGGAACGGATATGATTTTGAAATACGCATTTCCTCTTAATATAAGAATTGCTAATGTAGAAAAAAAAATGTTGCTTTGTATTTTGTGTTTACAACGTCGGTCAGTGATGGACATGCCTAATGCCATGATATGCGCAGAGCCTGTGTCCCTGATCTA